GGGGGGATTTAAAACTCAGTGCATTCTTGGCCCTGCCAGGGGACTTGTGTCCCAGTGGGGAGAGGAGGTAGCCACCGGGGGGTAGAAAGTGCCAGGCCCTCGGAGGGATGTAGGAAATGTGCTACAGGAGCTTGGAGGCCGGGGATGATACTTCTAGGAAACCAAAGGTCCCGTCACCTGGGAGGTTACGCTTCCACCGGGCCTTGCAGGAGAGAGAATTCTGGAGATGTGGCATCTCCCTGTCCTCTGGTGCCAGACCCAAGGGGAGCAGGAAGGCAAGCCAGAGGAGCTCTCGTTCCCTTATAGCCTGGGGCCTGTAAACAGTTCACATTATGGCCAGAGATTTTTGTTCTCAGACTTTTTTCTTCATTTAGGTGAAAGTCTTCGACCAGCCATGAACCACATTTGTGCAAATATAATGGGCCATCTCAACCAGCATGGATTTTATTCTGTGCTGCAGGTCTGTGACCCCATCCCTAATGTGGGACTCACTCTCCATGCCTGAACTTGAGATTTTACCTCTGGTTTCGGCACATCTGCTGCGCTCCTCACAGAAGCGCTTTCTGCAGGAAGCGCCCTCTCCTCTTTCCCCGACCCCGGCTTTGAGACCCTCTCGATCTGTGTGAAGGGAGGACAGTGACTGGGACCCCTTCACTGTGCTACATTTTTGTCTGTGAGGATAATCCAGTCATTTGAGACTTAAACTCAGGAAGGAGGCCTCAGGATGTATTCCCTCAGGTTCCTTCTTGGTTGGTGTCTGGAATGGTCTTTCTAGCTCTGTGTCCTCAAACAGCCTTCCGTCCACACTGCATGTTATCGTGCCAGTTTGTACATCCAGGGAATTGTCAGAAATGTAACTAATCACTGTTGAAAAGTATTGATACTTTGGAATTCTTGAGTTTGAGAAGTGACATTGATCTAGGCCGTCCTCCAGCCTGGCACTGAGATGGGCTCTTTCCTAGTTGGGTTTCACTTTCTCCTCACGACAACCCTGCGAGGTGCTGTGGCAACCAAAGGTGGATTCTCAACAGTTCATCTCAGTGGAAGCGTCTACTTGACGCCATAACTCTGAATTGTTTCTAAAATAATTGAGATTTTAAATCTGGTGTTCTTTTTATCGGCTGCTAATGTTTTTAACTATTAATTATTTTTTAAACTCAAGTGTAATATTTAAACTAGAGAGAGTGGTACAGTGAACCTCCATACATACCTATTGCTTTTCTTTCATTTTTTTAGAAGCATTCCAATACAGTTTTTTATCTGAAGCACTTACTGTACATTGTTTACGTGCACATGAATATAAAGTTGGCGTCGCCCCCTGACCAATTACAGTATTCTTTGCAGGTATTGTTAACCCGTGGCCTGGCGAGACCCCGGCCTTGTCTGTCCAAAGGCACTTTAACAGCAGCCTTTTCCCTAGCAATGCGGTGAGTAAGAAACTGCGCCTGAGGAGCCGGCTTGCTTCTGAAGGCCTGCTCCTCCTGCTTTTCTTCTCATGTTACTGGTATTAGGTACGGGCTTGCCCACTTTGTTAGAATTTACAGGAAGTGTTGTTCTTGATGAAAATGACGCATCTGTGACTGCCCTGTTCTTAATCTTCCGGCTGTACCCTTGAATGTTTTTGCATCATGACTTGAGAGAAGCTTTTCAAAATGAATTGCTTTTATTCTGCCAGGGGCCAAGATATGACCATTTTTCCTTTTGAGCTTTTAATTGATAAAGGAAACCTAAGAGCTGAAAGAGGCCCAGCAAAGAGCAGGGTGAAAGGATTCAGGGAATAGTGTTGTGAACACGGGTTTAAGACACCAGAATTCGGAGGACCAGAGAGGATGTGATATTTATCTTCACTTAGTCAGTTTGGAGATGTAAAGTACGTAAGAAGCTAAATATTTCCTGATAGAAATCATACCAGCAAGTCTGAGAACTGCCAAGTGTAAAGAGCTGTGCTTGTTAATGGGTCCAGAACATACTTAAACTGTTGAAAGGAGCGGTAACTTGGGGAGTTGTTAATAAGATAGCTTGATAATCTGAGATCATCTTAATCCCCAAGATAATAATAACTTGGGAAAGAAGGATTGTTGTGGTCAAACCAGCTTGGTAAAGCTGCCCGTCTGCCCCTTCCTTGTAATTCACCGGGCACCTTCCTGC